AAAAACCATAGGGATTGGTTTGGGTCTGGACCCCTCCATATGAGGGTACAGCCCCTACTAGCAGGGTCCAGGGTCGCGTCTGGCACGCTTTGTCCGTCATCGGTCATGGCCCCTTGGTTTCCATCTCTCTTCGGTGCGGGATGCATAAACGCCCCCCCAGGCGGACGGTGGGCGATGCCCGGTGAAGCCTTGCTTCGCTCAAAAAACATGGCCCGGCCGTTGGAACGCGACCGAAAGCCGCTTCGGACGGACGCGCGGGTTCACGGCGTGGTTCCTAGGGTGCATCAGAAAGATGAGATGAAGGTACCAGGAATACAAAAGTTGCAGAACATTGTGCACATGAACTAGAACAGTGACTCTATATATATATATATATATGCACACCATTTGCCCACTCTTTGGTACTCTTCTGGAATCCGGCAGTATTTCCGCGTCCGACATCAAACTACTTCACATCAAACTCTTGGTGGGATGAGAAGGTCGACTCTGAACCCAAACATGCCAAGGACTCCTTTTCGGAGGCCACTCCTTCTTCAAAACTCGACGCGTGAGGGGTTTTTGGCCACACCGCGCCTGCTGTACCATTTCTGGCATGTTCCATGGCATGCACGTCACCATGATCAAAAGCTTAAGTGAAGTGCTTCTAAAATCAAAAAACAGTTTTGAGCCTCATCGCCCACGGGTGGCGTTTTCTTCACCGCACGGTGCATCTTGGAGTGGGTTTGGGACGTTGCGCCTGGTGAGAAGACCGAGGAAGACCGAGGAAGCAGACCAGCCGGAACGAAGACGGAGGGCAGAGCAAGCACCACAGCAGATGGCTCAAGGCCTACAGTGCCTACAGGAATGCACCCAAATTCCAGAATACCTCAGCCTCAGACCTAACCATCCCAACCCAAAAATGAGATCAAAGTCATTGCATCAAAATGGGGCCGATGATGAGCAGAGCAAAGGTCAGAAGAACGAGATCTTAGACTTTGGTGCCCAAGTCCAGCGCTTTGAGGCGCTTCCAGACGAGACTTTTTATCGCAACTCCACGGTCACGATAAACCTCATGGCTGGATGCAATCCGACCTCCTCAGAGGCATAGAAGGGATTCTCGAACCACTCCACCTTGGCTCCCTCGAGCTTGTACATATCAACCATGTTCAACAACGTCTGTCTCTCCTGGGCCATCTTGTCAGTCCTTCATACTACTTCGTACCCTGTACCAGTGTCGGCTCCTGGTCCCCAATCACTCTGCAAATCACTCCAAACAATCAATCAATCAATCAATCAATCAACCAATCAATCAATAAATCAATCAATCAACCTGAAAAACAACCTGAAACCCGGTCGTGACACCTACATCAACAGCAACTGTGAATCCTCCCGTCTGACAGTTATTTGTTGGACCATCGAAACGTGATCTCTTCCTTTCTTCAAAAACGGTCGCTGTCGGCAAAGATCTGCCGTGCACCACATGCCCTCTCAATGATCTGCCGGAAGATCCGATTCGCTACACTCCCTGGATTCATCCATGGCAAAGGGGTGTGGATGGGAGAACCAAATTTGCCCTTTGAGGGTTCGGGTTCGAAGGGCCATGTTCAATCCATTTGGACCAAACAGAAGTGGTCCTTGGATTCACTCCACACCTGATGGTTCCAGGAGTCTCCCGGTAAACCCGCCGTGGCTTGGTAAACGCGCCACCAAGTCTCCGCCGGCGAAGCGCATGTGTTGCATGACCTATGACCCCATCACGTTCCAACATCTAAGAACCCGTTCCTTTGGAACAACATCACAGAGTAGGGTTCTTCATATGTTGGCTTCGATGTTCCGAACTATTCTTCTCTGCCTTCCATGTCCAACCCTCTCCTCCTCATAGAAGGTGGCAAAGGTGCAGAGACCAGTGCAGCTCCGGAGCAACGATCCAATGATGCCTTAAAAGTCCAACGAGAATCACTCACATACCACCACCTGTACTCACAGAAACCAGCCCTTTCCTTCCCTCAAACCCAACCACACCAACCCCCCCCAAAAAAAAAGAACGAACCAGCAGAATCCATACTCCACCCGCACCTAGACACCTCACGGACACTTCACCAGCGGACCTTTCCTCCCAGATCCTGGAGATCATGAAAGTGCGTCTTCTTTAAAAAGTCCGGGGATACAGCGATTTTAGGTTAGAAATCGAACCTGAAAAACAAAAAAACTTGTGTTTCTGGAGCAGAAAGACATCTTCCAGTGGTCCATTTTCAGATTCCATGTTAACTTTACTGACTTTACAGGGTGAATTTTGTGTTGTTTGCTCTCTCTGCCGAATAAGGGACGCCACCAAGCTCTGGCTCCCCAAATTCCTCCCCGATTCCCCAAACTCCCATGCCCTTCGCGCCTGAAACCCTCTCGCCACCCTCCCTCCCACGAACCTTCCCTCCCTCTCCAGGGTCGGTGTCTCCAAGGCGCGAAACCAGGGACCGCCCTTGGTCACCTCCGGATGAATTCCAATCACCCACTGTGCCGTCGGAATGGGCTCCTCCGCCAGATCGCCTTGCTCCACACGGCACTCGATGCCGTGCTTGCGCCACAAGTAGCGCTCGGCCAGGGCCCAGTCGCGGATGTAATCATCGAAGAGCTCCATGCCGAAAACGGAGATCTTCCCCACCTCCAAGACTGTTGGTGCATGTTGGTGCTAAGGAGGACTAGAGCCAAAACAGGGAAATCATCGGAGTCAGTATCACATGTAGAGGAAGATCGCACCCATCGACACCCATCGACACATTCCCACGAGGGTGGAGATCAATTCAGGGTTTACAGGGCCCGCTTGCAGCCCAAGCTGCTCCTGGCACTGCCGATGCGCTTTCAGCCAGGAAGTTGCCCAGAGTGACATATTCATGAAAGTGTCCGCCTCAGGTGAAAAGGAGGCAAGGGTGGAGATCTGCAGATCTGCAGGGGCAAGTGGTATCCGTACGGGTTTCAAGGGTTTCAAGCACCGGTTTAGATTGTCCAAATATATACCTTCTGAGGTACTTGGGTATATATTTATCATAATTAGACCCTAGCAAAGGATTTGTGAGGCACATGCGCACTGCATACTTTCCACCGCTTGAGCGCCCAAAATTGAGGACAGTCCGACCTGAAAGAGCCTAGCAATCCGCTTCACCCGCTGAAGCTGCTTGTGGATGATGGACAACTGTGTACACCTAGTCTACAACCTCGCATCAAGGTACCACGGACGGTACCACTGTAACACTCCGGACCAAGCCACAAAAGGGAACGCTGACATGAAGAACACCCTCGGGATCTGGACGCAGCCGATCAACATAGCCCTTGCTTTTCAGAGCATTGAGGATCTGCTGATATTGACCGGTGGTCCAGTCCGGCTGGAAGGGTGTCTCTGAGAAGGGTGGCAAAACAGCGCATTGCGCGAAGGCCCACTCGTCGCCCTCTTGTGCCAAGGTCACCACATTGTAGGGCTCCACATTCTCAGGGATCGTGAAGGACAGGCTGATTTGGTCTGATGGGCTCAAGGTTAGTACGTCTCCCCCTTGGCACTCCTTTGGCACCACAAAGGAAAAGCGCTTCTTCTTGACGACCACCTTCCAGGAGAGGTCAGCTCGTTGAAACAAGGAGAGCCAATCACCTTCAGCACACCTCTCGGGTAGAGGAACCTCCAATTTACTGCCGTCCGGCATTGGGATTTGCAACATCACATTATCGCCACCGTCCGGAAGGCTTGGCACTTGGAACTGGATCCGCCTTCCGTTCAGAGGGCGCCACTGGGGGAGGCTTCGCCAGCGCGCATTGCAATCCGCAGCGGTCAAGGTGCAGACTGGCACCCCAATCTCACGCGTGACGTATTCGTAGCGAACGGCGGCGGGCACATCGGACATTGCAGGTGTTGTCTTTTTTTTCCGGATGCGCTGGGACGAAAATGTGTCTGGCACAGGCAGTGGTTGTTTGGAACCAGAAAGCACTTCTATGATTGATATGTTCCACATAGTTGTTTGGAACTGGGATCCCGGCATTCCTCTAAGTTTCTTTATTGGCAAGGTAGTTGACCCCGCAACGAAGGTATGTGCAGTGTTATGTGGAGGCAAGCCTCCGGAAAATTGGGAGCAACGGACTGTCATCATGACGGGAATTTGGGAGTGGAGTCCTGTTTTGTGGGGGAATCACTCCAAAAGAGCTTGCTGAAAGGATGGGAAGATTGCTAGAAAAAAAGATGGATTGTGACTGGGTGAAAAAGTGTTGACAGGTCAATCCATTTGTGAATCGAATCTCGCTCATGTAATCGGCCAGCCTTCAGAGACAGCGTTCGATGCATCGATCTGCCAAATCGACGGCCGTTCCTTGTGTCCCACAGGCACCGCCCCGCCGGAACGTACTGTTCGAGACCGAGACTTTTTTTTCGCGGTCGCGACTGTATCGACGGTCGATACGGTAAATACATGGGTTGGCACGGTTCGCCAAAGCAACCAAAACACCTCAAAACCTGGCCAGCTCAGGCTGACGCCCCCGCGCTTTCACACATGCCGTGGGTGGTGTAGAAAGCCGCGTCGAGTTCGAGTTCGATCACTTACGACTCGTAGACCCTCGTAGACTCGCATCGCTTTTTGCTCGATTCCTCGGTGAGGCTACTAGGAACAAAGGGCATTTCTACTAGGAGCAAGGACGCTACTAGAGGCTCCTGGCATCGCAACTAGTAACAAGTGCATCGCTACTAGTAACAAGTAACAAGGTCTACCGCTTTTCGAATGGAATTCCTCGGTGAGGACCGTCGGAGAGTCGAAGAAAGAACGGCCTCTGGGCCGTCCCGCTGTGAAAAGACACAGGTCGTTCCCGAAAGAGGTGACAGACTTACACGCACGCACCGGCGCCACATCTGGATCTACCCCCAAAAAGTCCTCCTAATAACCATCGGGAGAATTCAGCATTCTCGCCTGGCCGCCCCCAACAAAGGCCTCTCTGCTCCCCCATCATCCCACGCACCACCCCCACACCTCTCTGCTCCCCCTCCCGTGACGGCCCAAACGACCCCTTTTTGTTCCACCTCAAACGGCCAAGCCCAAGGCTCGGCGGATCGCCTCCGCCGCCACTTGGGGCTCGGGACCTCGTTTCGGCGGTCGGAGAGGGGGTTGGTCGATGGTTTTGGTGAAAGTGAGGGCCCAATGGGAGACTTCTGGAACATGCTGATCCAACAAAACTTGCAACTGTGTGTCTTCATGTGTCTTCCTCTCTCTTGTAGAAACCAAACTAAGTTCATGTGCCAGGTAGAATGTGCACAAAACAGGTTTTTTTCGCTGTGGCCTTTCTTCTTTGGACACAAAATGCTGGTTCTGTTCGATCTTCTTGGCTTCCTCCTTGCTAGACCCCTTCCGCTCCTCCTCTTCCACCTACTTCGGCCTTCAACGGGATTGCACCCGGGTCTGATCACTTGATCATCTCAAACGAAGGGCCTTAGTCCTTCACCATCCTTCACAGGGGCGTTAAGTGATGCGATTCGCCACCCCAAACACCATCCGCGTCAGACCCGGCGTCAGACCCAGCCTCGGTCTGAGCGCTCGTCCCGTTTCGTTTGGTCGGAACGGCGCCGAGTGCCCGCACCCAGCACCAAGCGGGAATCCTCGGTCGGAGGGCCCGCCGCCGCGCCCGAAGCCCAGGACACCAATGCCCCTTGAGTTCTAACAACAATTGTCTTAATGGTCTTGAGTCTTTACCAAATAACCATTGTTTTACAAAGGATTTTAGTTGGCCCTTCTGAAATCCGCAGATTCTTTGGGATCTATTCCTTGGCTTCGTGATTTTCAGAACCACTATCTGGCTTGGTGCTTGCTGCAGGGACCGGCATTCCCCGAAGTCCCAAGCATAGCCATTGAAGGACTGGTGGAGTGGTCTGAGGACCTTTCCGGGTCGCCGCACCCACTTCTGCGCTGGCCCGACCGTCGCCTGGAACGCCTGGAGAACGCGGTGGAACGGGGGACGACGACGGAAGGGTGACAAGCTCGGGGTCCTCGGTGAAGCGATTCGCCAAGGAGTCTCTCCGTTCGCCGAGAAGGCTCGGGTGAATTGTGAACTTAAACTCCACGACATGCTTTGGGCAGCGGTAGTTCCCAACAAAACCGGAAGGGGAGTAAGGGTGTGAAAGAGCTAAGGATGTCACTAGGAGCGATCGGAAGCTATGAACGGGGCTCCTGGCCTTACTACTAGGAACAGGGGAGCCAGTCGACTAGTCCATTGGCCCTTCGAGGCCGGGGGTGCAGAATGCGGACCGAAACTTGACATGGCCGGGAAAGAAACCATGGTATCTGATCATATCTGAGTCATGTCAATCTATTCCAATCTCTTCTCTATTCCACACTTCGAACAAGCAACGGTAGCCTGAATTGTCCAGTGGTCACCTGTCTCAAGCTGCCCAATGGGCCTCCCAGGTCTCTTTGCCCCGTTCTGTCATCACCTCAACCGGCAAACTTGGGGAGCACTGATCAATGGAACTTGTACGTATACACACCTGTGAAGCGCCCCCTGTGGGTTCCACAGAAACAAGGCTCTATATAACTTATAACTGCTGGGCAGCTTGCAGAAAACAAGGGGCTGTAACGACAGTCTTGCTTCAAAAAGGCCATGTCGGGAGCAGAGTCAGTCTTTCTGCAGAAGTCGGCATGTCTGGCCCGAAGAAAAATATGCAAATGATCGCGGACTCGGAAAGGTACTAACTAACTCCTATGGCAGGCCTAGGCCTGTGGTGACCACGCCATCGACCAATACTGCTGAATGTGCAGCATCCGCGGAGTCGATTGAGGCCGCAGCACAGTAGTTGCGCCCAGACTGAGCGCTGGCTTGGTCCTGCCCAAACCCAAGGCAAACTTGGTCAATTTGGTGATGACTCTCATGTCGAGCCAATAATCCTCCGGCGCAAAAAAAGGACGATTCTGTTCTTTAGGGCGCTTCTATCATCTTCCTAGCTGCGTTCACCCGCTGAAGCTTTGGCACAGAGGGCAGAAGAGCGAAGCGACACGGAACGACGGTCGTTCCGTGCCCCCGGTCCATCAGCGCGAGAGGCTCACCGCCTGTGGCGGAAGAAAGCAGCGGAGCCGTAGAGCGACGGTCGGGTCAGGGGTCAAAAGCAGATGGACCACCAGTTCTGAAGAGACTCGACCTGAGAGGTCAAGTGCAACGAAAAGGGAGAGCGCATCCACTTCTCAATCTATTTTGGAGGCGACCACTTTGTACACGCGCAAGGCCCATATACATGTGTTGGTCAGTTCAGGAAAGTCGATCAAGTCATCCTGTTCCATGACACCCTTTGAAATTGCACCCGAAGTCATCCTAAAAACCTGAATTCTTGAATCCCACCCCCCTGCGACCCCAAGCAGCCGCGCGCAGCCGCGCGCAGGGCGCGCAGGGCGCACGCTGTGCCCTTACAACGCTTCCACCCCACCTCCTGACGTCTCCTGAAGATTCAGAGAGGCAGCAAAAATGTTCCCCCTTGATTGTAACTTGCTCTGCAGGAAATCATTTTATAGGTGCAAATGTGCTATTAAACATGTTTATAAAAGGAGCAGTCTAGGGGATCAAACATTCACCTGTGACCTGATGACATTCCGTTCCGAGGGAGACGAACCAAGGAAGACCCTCCGGATAGACCCTGATCGACAAGGTTCTTCTATGTTCTTCTTACGTCCTCCGGTTGGTCCCTCCAAACGGTACGAGAACTCCCTCCCCGTGACTGGCGCGCGGGGCGCGGCCCATCCCGCTCTTTTTTACCAAGTTCGATCCGCATGGCCAGACACCAAATTGGGCAGACGGTTCTTTTATGTTCTTTTCATAGGACCAACGCTGGATCACCTGGCACCCACCTGGGAGTGGTGTATCCTACTGGTCACAAGAAAACCCATGCCGCGGCGCGTCCAAGCCGGGTCAAAAGGGCACGGTCAGGTCAGGGAGATCTCTACATCCCTCAAAGACGTCCGACGTCCACACCTCCGGTCAAGCTCCAGTCCGACTCCCATCACTCGTCCGTCCTCCCCCCCCAAAAAAAAGGAACTTTGTCTCACCACCCCCTGATGTTTTCCACGGCTAGCGGCTAGTCACTCAAGATATTAAGACCCCTCGCCCTAGATCAGCCAGGGCTCCAGATGGGCTAGATCTGGGGAACGACTCCATCTCCGGCCCCGGACGAGGACGGGGACCGGCCCGTCCTGCTGGGGTTTTCGGTCGCGCGGGACGCCTGGGAGCGACGCGAGGGCCGTCGAAGCCCCAGACTTTGGCCCTATTGATACCAAGTATGTGTGGTGAAAAGGATGGTGTCTGTGGAGTGCCAATGGAGTTCCGAAAGGATCTGCCAAAATCCATACCCAAAGAGAAAGCCGAGCAGATCCGAACAGAAACTGGCACCACGAACAGTGGCATCCCTTGAGACTCTGAAGGTGAAGCAGGCTGCACCAAGCAGCTTGGGCTGGTTCTTCAAGAAGAAGGGATGGTGGTGAAGCTCTGAAGATCTCTGAAATACTGGGCCATGAAAAATCGGCACTTAAAAGTTATTTCGTGTTCACTAAGGATCACAAGGATCACAAGTGGCACATGCCGGTCTTCTTTTCAGGTCTCCATTGCCAAAACAAACACTGGACCAAACCGAAAACCCGCAAAAACGGCTGGTCAGTCGTGCCCGATTGGCCAGGCTCCCAGACGCTCGGCCTTCTCGGACTCCTGCCGGCTCGACGGGGCTCGGGGCTCGCTGGAGCAACGACGGTCACTGGTCAACCCTCCGAGACCTTCTGATTGCGGGGTACCAGGTACCCCCTAATCGGAGGCCCGACTTGCGTATTTAAAAAGCAACGAAAACGTGGAAGGACGCCGCGCCGCCGAACCGGCCTCGGCATGTTGCCGCCTCTTCCTCAGATCGCCCAAAAAGAGGGGACAACAGGTGCGGGACAAGTGGCCGGGCTTCGGCTCCACGGGAAATCAAGAAACCGTATATAGCGCGACTTGCGGTCGTCCGTCACGGCCTTTCATAGGCAGTGAAGAAGAAACAGTATATAAAAAGAAAAAAACGTTTGTCCACCTCGGTTGCTTGGCGGCTAGCTTGAGTGAAAACCCACCGAGCGGCCGAGCAAGATTTTGAGGCAGCTAGACGTGACGGAAAATGTTGGTCAGTGAGGCAACATACCCTCCAGATGCTACAAGTCTCAGAAGAAAAAGGTTCACCAGCCGTTCAACGGGAAAAACGATCGCTTCCGAGCTTGCGAGAGATGCACGACTATCCCTTTCATTGAAACTGTAAGGTGTCCATGTTCGCAAAACGTGAAGAATCATGATGCACCAAGTGAAACCTTCACCAACCAAACCGCTTTTGTCTATCACCATGGATCTCGACTTCCCAGCATTCAGTTGCTACGTAGCGTCTACCTAGACTACCTATAGTGCTAATAGCTAAGCAAGCTGGACTTCCAGGAGTCTAGACCATCCTAGACCCTACCAGTCAAGTGTCTAAAGTGGAGGTCAAAAGATTGAATTCCCCTCTACCAGGATCGTCACTAGTTACACATGCCTGTTTCTCTCAACCCCCGTGACCCGACCGAACAAAAAAAGGGTCCCAACGGCACACGTTCGTTCAGCTCCATGAACCATGGTCGGGCAGCCTCCACAGGAAACCACAAAGGATGGCAAGAAACGTCCAGGATCTGGAAAAAAAACACGAGGTGGAGGGGATCCGGATCATGGTGTCCTTGCAAACCCTACAGGTGTCCTTCCTGACTCCACAATATTGGAGATGCAATCTGCCATCTCTTTGAAGGATCAGTCCACGATGTGTCGCTTCAACACCACAAGCTGCCAGCACCTCCATGTTAACTCCAACCGCAGGCATGGCGAGAACCAACGACCGAGTCTCCGTTCTTCCAACGGCTGGAACACCGTGATGACTTCGTTCGGCTTTCATGCGACTATACAAATTCACACCTGAAAAGCTGGTTGATTTCGAACGATGTGGGCCAAATAAAGACTTGAGTAACTTCAGCCATCCAAGCCTTGCTGAGAGCCATCAACCCACATGAACAAGCAACCGTCACGACCGATACAGCGGCGCGGAGGCCAGACCGGGAAAGATCGACTCCTCATTCCAAGCACAGTTCTGGTCTGGCAGGGCTGAGGTTTAACACGTCTTCAAAGGTTTGATCACTCGAATAGCACCCCTGTGGTGCAAGGGTGTCGGGTGTGAATCACCACCAAATCGATGAGGTCAAAATGACCCAGCTTGGTCTGAATCCACTTGAGGCATCCTCCTCTCGTCATCTCTCATCGCTCCCCCGAGAAGCAGAAGATGACCTTGCATCAGAGTTGGGTCGGGCTCTTGTTACTCCTATTGCAGGCGGAACAGACCGGAACAGGCATCCGGTCTATGAGTCCGTTTCTGTGTCAGCTACCACACAAGCAGACAGGGCCCCTGTCTGGGCCATGGCGGCCATGGCATCAGAGCACGAAAACTGGGCGGCCCAACGGCCGGAAAATCCGATGTCAAGTCTTGGACTTGGAGTGGACTACAAATACTGTAAGGCAGATGCCAGTTTAAAGTGGACGATAAAATACTTGCATGGATTGTAAGGCAAAAACTGTAAAATGGATGGACTATCAAATCTCGTGCTTCATGTTCTTCACTTTTATTTGCGACCCCACCTGCTCTTGCGTCGCTCGTCCGCGGCGTGGTCCTGGGGAACTTGCTGCCAGATTGACTTCCCCTGAACCTTCTCATAGGACACGTCCATTCGAAGTGCATACTTCAATCCAGATGTCACCATGCCTCCACGATGGTAGAGTTCGTGATCAAACACGATCGCACCACCCGTCGTTGGCTCGATTGGCACCAGTCCGTCGGAGATAAAGGTGGTCCGACCCCCTCCAAAGCCTGAGTTCAGGTACAACTGGACCGTAAGAAAACTTCTGCTCTGCTCATCCTCATGCGCACAGTCCGTGTGATCAGCGTGGTGCATCCCTGGCCCGTACTTCAAGAAGCGCAAGCGCTTGTTCACCCCCAGGAGCCGTTGCCCGGATGAGGGCGGATACTCCTGGGGTAGCAGCTGCCACAAACGCCACGTCAGAGCTTCCGCCACCAGGGGCGCATCGAGCAGGCAACGTTGGGCAAAGCGAGTGAACGGGTTGAAGCCCCTGGAACCTGGTGAAAACCACGCCATCCCGACCATGACCATGCCCGAAACGACCCCCTTGCTGAAATACAGAACGCTGTGTAAAACATGGGTTGAGCCAAGACGGTCTTTCCTACTATGCTAAAATGCGTGTTTGTCCGTAAAACATTCCCGCACTTCAGCCTTAAACTGACAAGAACACATAGACACAAACAAGTTTCTCGGGGATCATAAGAAGCTGACGTTGCACTCTGAGCCCTTTCAGGAAACATGAGGGAAGCTGAAAAACACTCGTTGCTCTAACCCCAAGCCTGCGAGGCCATAACCCTCCTTCTCCGAAAGCTCGATCAATCTTTGACACTCCTCCTCTCGCAGCAAACCCCGAAGTGCTCGCGCAAACTTTCCTCCGAAGATGCTGGGCTTCTGCGACGGAACGCCGAGCGCAGTCTCTTCTCCCTGGCCCAGCGGCACTTGTGCCTCGACACGGCCCAGCAGGGCCTCGGGCATCTCGTTCACCAAACCTTCGTTCAAGCAAAGCGCATAGCGGTGGCCGTCCAGCCACACGGCACGGCGGCCATCCACATACTGCACCGGACCACAGGGTAGTTCTGGAACCTCTGGACCCAGAGCATCTGAGACTATGGAGGTTGCAAGTCCCAAAGCAGAAGCTAAGGATTTACAGAGTGAAGGCCAATCCTGAACCTCCTCCTGGGTGAAGTTGTCCGAGGACCGCCCACCTGTCTCACTCCCTTCCGGAGGCCCACCCTTCGAACCGGAGCGCAGCAGTTGCACCAGCATGCGTTCACGACAGGGCCGGCCGCGGCGGTTCACGTCAACGTGTTCGCTGCGGAGGCGCTGCTCCCAGGCATCGAGGTCGCGCAGTTGGCCACACAGGGCGATGCAAATCTTCCTGCGTGGAAGCACCACGCAAGATCCGGCCAAGCTGGCCTCCGTGGCGATCCGTTGGATGCAGGCGGCGTACGGCGCCGGCAAGCCGTCATGCAGGCATTTCACCGGCCAATCCAAATGGAACAATGCCACGGTCTGCTCCGAAGCCGTCGAGGGCGGCTTGGTCTTGGACTGCACCAAAGGTCGGCTCAGTTTGGATCTCAGTTCCATGAGTAGGATGCCCAAACGATTTTCCCCCTTCTTGGAAGGGATGTGATAACCCCAAATGAGATCTGGACTGCCTGAGTGTCCATCCACCAGCTCTCGATCTCCAGTTGAAAGTAACTGTTTCCGTAGGTCAGGGTTTTCGAACTTCGCCAAGAGGCACTCAGCCATGACCTCGCAGGACACCACACCAAATATTGAAACTGTATCTAGTCCACACTGGTTAGTGGAAGGCGGACACCAAAAAACAACAAAGTACCACTTGTTTTTGTTACTTCCATGGCAGTTTACTCTGCTCATTAATTCGGTGATGTTGGTTGCTTCTAACAACCCTTACCTGGCAAAATGGGGATGTCCGTCTGACCTGCTAAAACACCGCCGGACATGGCTATTTTCCGTCCGTTTACGCAGCGCCCAGCGAAAGGAACGAAACGAAAAAACGGGCCACGGCCACGAGTTGTTGGGTCAAAAGACTGATCTTTCCAAACATTGCCCCAAGAAAAAAGGATTGGAGGAGGGGCCAAAAAAGTTGTGGAAAGATCAGTCTTTTGAAAAGATCAGCACAATCCCTCCTTCCAAAAAAAGTCCTCTCATGGAAGGGGGGCTACGCTGTCTCTGAGCCATGTCTTTGCCATGTCTTTCTGGCCAATCCGGGGCCTCTTCCCGGATCTCCTTCCAGTCTTTCCGCAGAGCCACCTGGCGCCCTAAGCGCTTCGCTTCCCCGAAGCTCAAACTAGGACTGGTGAAGCCATAAGCGACACGCTGCTGGTTCTCCACGAGCTTGGCTGCCTGGAAGGCATGCTCCACAGATGGATATCTCAAGCCCTGAAAGTCCAGCTCGGACCAGAAGAAGTTCGACAAGAACTTGTATGGACCCTGAAATCTCTCCACTTTGCCTGCGACCCATCCTTCTGCAGCGACAGGACCCTTCGGACCATGGTCCCTGCGTTGGCTCTCATGGCGGTCCTTACGCCATGACCGTCTCCCCGACATGTTTGGCAGGTTTCGGGTTTCTTCGGCTCAACGCAACTGGGCCAGGCAGCGCCGACATGTCCTAGACCCTCAGGATGACATCGTGAGGAAAAAGACAGCTTCATCATCCCAAGTTCATTGGCATATGCTCATATTGCTGGGATACTGAGCAGCTTGCTTTTCTCCACTACGCTTTCTTGGAACTACTTGTCTCAACCTCTTGTGCCATAAGCCATGGGACCAGGAGTGTCATAGCTACAACAAGACAGGTGTTCTTCCATCCAAAGAAGGACTCGCCACATTTGCGAGGCTGCAGTAGCTGGTGGATTCGCTCCAGTCAGACTCAGTGGTTTCCAGAGCTTCCCAGAAACCCAGAAACCCCGGCAGAATCCAAAGCTCCTTCCATTTTCCACACCGAGCACCGAAATCGCTTCTGGAGCCGAAGTGCCGTCTTTCTCGACCAACGCGAACCCCGACTTCTCGGGCGCACGGTGGTGTTCGGTGTTCGGTTGGGCCTTCCGGCGTTGGAATCACCGACGTCCATAGAGAAGAGAGAGGGAGAATAGTATGCGTACCGTGATTGACACACACAACATGCATCAAAAACACACGGCTTTTTGCAAGATGGGCCCATGATGTCCAATGATTTCAAAGCAACTGAGTCCCTGGCCTTCAAAAACCATTAAAAGAATGGTTGACCTGGTGGGGTTATGTAAAAAAATCCTTAGCAAGACAATGGCTCTTTGGTAAAGACCGTTAAAACTATGGTAATGGTAACAGTGATTGTCAAAATCCCAGGGGAATCATAAATCTATCATCTCTGATCATCTCCACTTGGTATCGACCTTGGCCAAGCAAGCCACACGGGCTTTCACGACTTTGTGATTTCCAAACCTAATCGGAGAAAGCCCAACCCTCTACGGCGCAGCAAAAAACATCACAGCAGTCGAATTTCAGCCGTTTCAACATACGAAGGTACTGAAGTGGCAGAAGTTCTGGCGGGTGCCGGCGCCGGCATCGCCTTCTTGGCGGGCCTTGGCATTGCCTTCTTGGCCGGCCGCGGCATGGCCTTTTTCTGGGGCCTCACTTCCCTCACCTCGATCACATCCACATCCACCGTCTCATCCTTCCCGTTGCTTCCCTGAGGCCTCTCCTTCAACAAGCTCTGAACCCTTTTCAGCAAATCCTTGCGCCACTGCACCGAGCTGCTCACCCGCGACTGCTCCGCCTCGCTCGCGGGCCTCGGGCGGAGGCGCACCCTGCGGGGCTCCGGGCTGCGCGGGCGGCGGCCAGGCCGTCGAAGGGGGGACCGGCTTCGGAGGCGCACGTCCTTTCCATCTGACTTGGTACTCATTGCACTCACCACCTTGGCGTTGAAGGCACGCTGTTCTTCGGGATCCTGAAGGGTGTCCAGCTGAGGGAATGGGTGCACGATCACGCGGAATTCGACATCATGGCCTCTCTCGTAGGCTTCCTTGTAGGCACGCAAACGTCGGTTGCCCATGATCACGTAATGAGTGCCATGCCAGCGAATGACCACGATTGGTGGAAGGTTCACTGCATCAACATGCCCAGCAACAAGGTCGTCCACCAATCGACTGACCAGCTCACCTTGGTGTTCACCTTGAGCAAAGCGTTGACTGATGGCCGCGTGGGAATAGCGGATATCTTGACTGGCTCGGAAGATGCTGGCTCTGAACCTCTTCTCTGCCTCCGGACACACGGAGGGGTCCAGCTTCTTGATGATTCGGGAGTGCCGAAGCTCTTGCTCTCGGCACAACTGCCCCTGCAGCGTGATGCCCGGAGCCCGGCTCGAGCCCGGCTCCCGGGCGCTGTGCAACGCCCGCGGCGCGCGCGCCCCGCGCGCGAGGCGAGCACGGCGCCCGCCACGGGCGCCCCGTGGGCGAGGGAGTCGGCCTCGGCCGAGGGATGCTGACGACGGCCTTTGGGGTTTTCCACGCACTGGAACGTTGTTTTTCTGGACCCTCGATGCCCCAGAAATTCCGTTTTTGACTCATTTTACCTTACCCGGAAGTCATTTCGACTCTCAGGGCGCGCGCAATGTACAAGTGAAGAGTTCTACACCTAGAGCATAGGCAAAGGAATTGAACCAAATAGAAATGGATTGAGGTAATATCACTTGCCAACCAGGAGCTTTTGGCACTGTGTCTGTCAGCACTCGCCGTGGGTGTCCTCCGCATCTGTTCACTTTGGTGCGTCCTCTTTAAAGAGTGGAATGTATGAACCTGGCCATTCTTTTCCGCGGCCTCGAAGTAGAGGAGAGGTTCTGACCAGGGCACAAGACACATGAAAAGCAACAGGCGATTCTCCAGCAGAGCACTTCATGGCGAAAAGGAAGGCCGTCTGTAGACAAAGAGATAAAGGCCAGGACCAGCCCTATAGTACAAACATTCTTAAACATTCCTACGCAAAAGAAAAGACAACCAAACGCATTCCCTCATCACATCCAATTCCTCCATCACCTGCCCATCTGGGCACTGAGCCGACTCGCCAGAGTGTCTGGAAGGCGGCCTTTTCTCTCCCAAGTCGCCACTTCAAATGGGGACATCGCCACCATGTCTTGACCAAACCAGGTCGCCCGATGGTGATATTCCAACATGGCGAACACGGTCGAGAGAGTTCTGGTTAAAAACAAGCCACTCGGTCCTTGTTGGTCCAGGATGTTCCAGTCCATCATCAACCGGAAGGACACCAGGCCAGAACCGATGATTTGAGGCATCTTCTCATGGGCCGCTAGGATCCGCGGCCAGGGCAGGTAGGAACCTACCAGGTCCAAGGACACCCGCTGCGGCGAAGCCGGCGACCTCAAGAGCTGAGGACGCGCCATGATTATGAGTGCCATGGAGGTAAAAGGAAAGAGGGGCACATCCCCTCCGCCAAACTTCCAAGATTGCGGGAACCTCAAACAAATTGCCCCACATTGCCTGTGAAAGCCCCTTCTTAAGGGCTCGGCAATCACCTTCAACTCTTCCAAGTTGCCAAGTCAGATCATAGAAACCAGCTTTATTTTAATATGTATGTGAACCATCTAGAATGATGGTGTACTGTGTGGATATTGGATTCTAGTACAGGTTTTGCGTGTGGCAAGTGGCGAACCATCAGATCCTCAGCCCCTTCACGACCCGATCTACCTCCTTGCCCCCATTTCTTCGGCGGCCTGAGCTTGTCCCGGAAGGTGGGCCGCACCAGGTCTAAGATCTGCTGGAGGCAGTCTTCCTTCATGGGCTCCTCGGCGTGCTGCACTGGCTGCGCAGCTAGGCGCGCAGCCGAAGCGCTGCGCCAGGCGCGGTCCGGCGCTCCAGTGGTCTTTTTCGGGTCTTCGGCACGCGAACCCCCCGTTTCTCTGATTTCTCTTCCCACCCGAATTGGTCTTCGCCTAACGTGTGCCAATTGCTCCTCCACTCAAAAAGGGAAAAAAAAAATCTCAAAAAACACCGCACATTCTTTCTCGGCTCACCGAGTACGACACAAGGGGCGCTCACCGAGTCGCCAGGTGAAGCGGACGGACGAACCAGAACAAAACACTCTGTTGATAGAGGAAGAAAGGGTCATCCGCACTCAAAACCCACGCAGTTTCCACTGATTCGTGATTTCAGGGAGTGCAGTGTAGAGGGTCCAATGCCCAGGTGAGTCCCACAGATGGATCACTCCCACAGTTCAGTCGCAGCAACAAACATCACACCGGTGCCCAGGCGCGATCTCTCTTAAATCCTTCCGTTCCAAAGGCGTCGCGATCAGTTGGTCCTCGGAAGAGACGATGGCGAGACGTGACGATCCTTCCGTCGATCCTGAAACCGTCGCAGTTCTGAGGTCCAGCGACGAAGGAAGGCGTTACAAACCGCACCTTCGACTCAATTCGACTCAACTCAAGTGGGGAGGTGAAGGTCGAGATGGCAGCCCCCTTAGCCTTAGCCGGGGGTTTAACTGATGGAATCCAACATTGCCTGGTCAGCACCCAACACCGCAATTCTGCACCCTCGGCCAAAACCGCTGAAGCCCACATTGAAGCAAACACACCCACTGACCTTTGGGCGGATTGGGGGGGGACCAGACACCTGGCAACCCAAAACGACCTGTTTGAGCGAACACCCTGTTTGAGCCCAGCCCAAAGCCTCCAACTTCGACCCCTGGGAGTGCAGACCCTGCGGAGAAGCGCTCCACCGGGTCACAGCACTGCGGCCGAGGCGCATTGCTCCACGTGGCTGGGCCCTGGGCCCAGCACTGCAGAGCCTCGTCGAGCCTCAGGCGGCTTGATCGATTCAACGGTGCCCAAACCGGTGCCTGTTTAGAGGTTAAGAGGACCAGGAATAGAAACAACTTCCAATACATTTTACAAGCACATGATGTCCTGTTCTCCAGAAGCTCTGTGGGTGTGACCTTGAATTTCTGGAGAGGCTAGCCCATACGCGAAGCATGGTCAAAACCATGCTCTTCCTTCTTCCAAGTCACGTGACTTGCGCCTCCGATGCGCTCGGCGGCGCGGAACCGTGCCGCCCCGGCACGGCCCGGCAAGTCGAGGACGCCGGCACGGGGTCGGTCGCTTCGGCAGGAAAGGCGTGTTGAGGACCAGGGCCTTTCTCCGGCCTGGCGAGACCATATATATATATATGTGTATTATCTTCTGTTTCTACAGCAAGATTTACAACATCCTACATATGTCATCAATGCAATCAATTTACTTTCATTTGGATTGGGTCCGTGGGGGAAACAGCTTTGGATCACCGACAGGTTCGTTCTCTGTGCGAACATCTACCGCTCAAGGAGTTGGAACACCGAGAACTGCTCGGTGGGTGTGTGGTTGAGGTCATCGAAACCAAACGGAAGAGTTTCGGAAGTGTTTTGTTCGGGATGAACCGAGTCACGGACGCTCAACTATATACCTTTTTGAAAGCGCTCGCGATGTCTTTGGAAGATCGCGAAGATCCAAGGGGAGAGGATTTGGAAAGCAGTCCGACAGGCTTAGGAGGGCTTGGATCTACACCCCGTTGGGACTTCGCCTGGCCCGTATTTGCCAGCAACCTTTACTCCCGCATTTGCCAAAAAGAACCAGGGATTGGGCCAAAGATGTTTTTCTTGGGATGAGCCTGGAGGATTGAGTCATCCGAATGCCTGTTGCTCAACCAGTTTCTTTGAGGAGATGGGCTTTTCGCAATGTTGGGGACTGATGGCCTGGCGTCAGGAGTCCATAAGATCGCAAAGGTTGCTGGTTTCTGTAGCCTTCTCAAGACAGCTCAAGACAGCCCAAGACAGCCTGTCGCTTTCAGTTCCCCCCAGTTGTTTCATGCAAATGGCCATCGGTTCGGTTCGGGGCAAATGACCTGTTTTTGACATCGGTCCGTTCGGACATGACCTGAGATTGGGGGTGACACACACCAACAGGCCTTCTATGTGAGTTTGCAGTGTATGGATATAGATGGGTACGTGTCACGGACGTTTCGTGGTCCGGTCCAACGTCTGCCCTTTTTGATTGCGGACATGACCCATGGAAGCTCTTTCAACGTTATTTAGCTTTTGGGATGTATCTACCACCTCCCCACCGTCTGAGACATCGGCGAATCGGCCAGCTCGGCGACGTCGGGGAACCGATCGCCGATCGACTCTATAGGGGCGGCCGAAGGCGCCCGACTCTGCAGGTCGTGCGAGGGTTGGGCCAAAAACAAAGATCAGGTTTCAATTGGTAACCTGTGGGAGGGTGATGGCATGAAGTATTTTTTTGTGACATGATGACAATTCTTCTCCCAGCTCCCCAACCTCGCCCCGATGCTGAGCATCGCCACGCGCCGAATTGAACCCTGCGAAAGAAAGCCCTTAAAGTTAGAACATTTAGGACCACGGAACCTGATCGTGGTCCGTGGAAGCAAGCGAGCAACTTTGGCTGCTTCTTCGAATGGAGCTCCTCACCGTCTACGAACGGCGTCCGGACGAGGCGTCCGAACGAGGCGTCCGAGCGAGGCGACCGGGCCTAGGGAGGTGCCATTTCAAGTCAAAAAGGGAAAGAATGGACCAAAACAAGCAGGTCGATCGTCGATCAATCCAGTTCAGGGTGAAGAAAAACACTTCAACCCAGGGGTTGAATGCGGTTGACTGGTCGAACATAGACCCATCACCGTTCACGCAGCGATTCTCACTCTGCACCCCCATGACCATAAAACCATCCACCTTTTTTCAGATTTGCCGGTTCCTTCGGGTCCGGTACCTCGAAAACATGGGGATGAAGGTCATGGACCAGCCAAATCCTTAAAGACAAACGGCGAGCGGAATTGGCTGACTGCCCTTCCAAATGTTAGAAAAACTTGAGTTTCTGTTTGGGTGGTGCCAAAAAACTCCTCTACAGTACCTGTCAGCTCCCCTCGTCCTGGGCCAATGTAGTCCTGCCACTTCTGCTCGGCCTTCTCGCAGGACAGCAGGGCGCCCAAGGTCAAACCCAGCAGCGCCGCGCGTTCCTCAGCTTGGTCCAAAATCTGAACCTTTGCCATCGCAAAAAAGATAGACAAAAAAGGCTCAAAAGCATTCTATATAATCGGCTGCCATGATTAAAATTTGAAACAAATCATTGCTGTGAAACTGTCTAATGATTTTGCCATGCCAAAGTAGATAGTTTCGCCATGACCAAAACCGATAGTTTCACAGCTCACATTTAGTCTACAGAATTCTCTCATCTGCTTCTAAGTTTGGGGTGGCTTGAACTCAACATGTAGTCTGTAACCCACTAGCCATCACTAGCCGAGGGCGTGTGCTAAGGTCAAAGTGTTATTCGGAAACTAAAAGGTGATCTTCGGAAACTTTACGGTTTTCTTCGGAAACTAATCTTCGGAAACTTTACGGTTTTCTTCGGAAACTAATCTTCGCAAACTATGCGGTCTTCTTCGGAAACTTTACGGTGTTCTTCGGAAACTTTTAAGTGGAAACTTTGGAAACTAATCTTCGGCAACTAAAAAGTGATCTTCGGAAACTTTAAGGTGTTTTTCGGAAACTATTCTTCGGAAACTAATCTTCGGCAACTAAAAAGTGATCTTCGGAAACTTTAAGGTTTTCTTCGGAAACTAATCTTCGGAAACTCTACGGCGCTACGGTGTTCTTCAGGGTAACTAATGTTCGGAAACTACAAAGAGTCGAAGAGCAACATCAAACCTGCTCGAAAAGCTTTCTGCAGATCGAAAAACAAGCATGTATATACCGTAGCCGTCACAAGGTACGTCAATATCCCAACAACCTACCCACCCACCCACCACCCACCCACCCAGTGCTCCTTCATGCAAATTGGCTGCAACATTGTAAAAGTTCTGAGGAATACATTCTAAAGTTAGCTTTCTGAAAATCGCAAAATAGTTTCTGAAGATCGCAAAATAGCTTCTGAAGATCGCGAAATAGTTTCTGAAGATCGCGAAATAGTTTCTGAAGAATGGACAGTTGCGGAATAGGACTTTGTTCCTGTTCACACCTGCACCTGCGAAACTCTTCCGGAACCAAAAAGAAAAGGGCTCAACGCGCGCGAGCAAGAGGAATTATGCACTGACCGGTGGATGAGACGGGGACCAGCGTCAAATCGCCAAACCTGGTTGGGCTGCAAACTCGTACCCAACGGCACCATCGCCCAGTCACTCACCTTGGCTTTCCGTGAAGGACACCTGCTACGTACTGAGAGAGAGAAGGCTCGTTTTCCATCGCTTTTTCGCTTTTTCGCCCAAGTCTCTTGGAAGATCTTTCGGGGTCCCACGCCCAAGGAGTGCAAGACGTGTCCGTCTCTGCGCGGGCGATGCGACATGTAAATCGCGCACGAAGACCATCCGGCCAGGGAGGCCTCACAGTGCTTCAAGAGCTCCTCCAGCGGCACGAGCGACTCGAAGGGCCAGGCTTGACCCAGCTCGGAGCACTTCGCCACGTGGAGCCTCACGCAGCGTCTTTCTGGGGCGATGGATGGGTTCTGGGGAGGAACCCTTCCCTGCTTTTCAAAGGAAAAGCGAGCGCAAAGGACTCTGCAAAAGAGTGGACTGCCAGTGGACGGCTCTATTCGATGTCCATTGGATCAGTTGAAATCAGGCGACATGTGGCTGTTGGATTGCTCCGGGTGCTGGGAGGGACGGGTGCTGGAAGGGACTGAACCACTGCAGCAAAAGAGACTTGATGAACGTGGCCATGAGAAATTGGAGCGCTTTATACATGGAGAAAAGGAAAGGAAAGGAAAACTCCTCATAACTCATAACTCATAACAAAACGCTGCCTATTATGCAAGGATCGTCTGAAGCCTACGAGCCTGCTCACAGGCTACAGTTTGCGAGTGGACCCATTCCAACCCTGGTCGTCTATTGGCCGAAGCTGCACTGTTTGCGCAAAGGCCGCGCACTGATCCAGGTTCTTCGTGTGATTGCTGACTCTCACCACCACGACCTGTTTGTCCAAAAAGCAAAAAAATGTTCCGATAGGCATGGGGGAACACGAGAATTGTAGTCCGAAAGCGCAAGTCAAGCATTGCAAGATCGGACCGAAAAGGACGCGAGGTTCGGGGCAAAGGTCAAAACGCAACATCCCAAAAGACAACGACGGGGTGGGTTTCCTTATCCCGGAGGCTCATATCAGGAGCCATCATCACGAAACCTAACATGTCATACTTTTTTGCTACACACTTGCAGACAAAAGAAACATGAGACTTGTTCTAATATTGGAGGGAAAACAAGACCAGCGAATTCATAGAGGCTGAAAATTAATGCTGACGGCCGACGTTCCGAACATCTCCGTGGATGAACACGCGGAAAATCTTCGGAGGATCATCGTCCAGGGCTCTTGCCATGGCATGTCGCAATGGGAAAAATAGTCACCTGGTCAAAAATGTCAACAAATTTGTTAATTGGCCAAATTAAACTGCCCCAAACACAATCTGTCTTTAACCCATCCTTACCCCTACATCGATCGTACAAGGCACCTTGGTCCCCCCTAACTTCACTTGCCCACCACAAGGAGCACTTGAAAAGATGCTAGGTTCTTCATTTTGCAACACGCGCATGCCACAAGCCCGATGGCTTCGAAACTTGTTGATGGCTAAATGTTGTTTGGAGCCAAAAACGGGCAAAGAAACACAAGATCGACCGAGTGCTTGAAATGTGTGTCTCGTTAATAAACCATCTGTGAGTTTCTACGTTCTTATACAATGGCCGCACAAAGTTTTTTCCCACATCTGCTGGCCAGATTTGGTCGGCCAGTGACATTGGAGCTTGTCTGAACTTCAGCCAACTTGCATCCTTGCACCTGCCGGGCCAGGCTTCAATGGTAGTGTTTGAACCAATCTTTTTTGCAGGGGAGGCATGCGTCGTCTTTGACTGGTTCTCAAAACCATGACACTTCCCTGTCAACAGGTCCATAGACACCATACTCCTAATCCTACACTCGAAGGTTTCACCTCTTATATTAACAACACTGGGTCATCCTGGGATCCTGCGCGCCAACTGCGCTTCCGCGAGCATCGCTTGTTCTGCAGTAGCAGGGCAATGACCTGCTAGAATCCAGGTGATTTCCCAGTTAGTTTCTGAGCTATGATGGGGGCTGATGACTGAGATGAGCCTATAGAATGATGGCTTATATATATATATGGCACACCCCCCGCCCAAAAAAAAGTAAACTACCCTTCAGACAACTTCATGTTTGGGGATGATAATCTATCAGTCAATTGAAAGGAGAATACCATATATATAATACAGAAGAGGACTTTACACGGGTGTGTGTTTTCCACGTCTACGAAAAGCGCCACTTTGGACAAGTTTCCACACGAATCGAAGAGAATGCAGCTAAGTTGGGAAGTTCGTGGCCCACAGACTTGCGCAGCCAATTGTTTTTCCAGTTTCTGGACTTGCGTGACAGCATCAAAGCACCTGATCTTCCGGGGGGTCGGCAAAAAAACTGGCTTGCTTTTTTGGTGGTAGCTGTTTATATTCTTTTGGCCGACTCCCCCCGGTGATCCGATGAACTAGAAGACTACTACTCACGAATAAACACCAACGACCAAGGACTAACCAAACCATTGCCTTGGAAACTGTATCTATAACAACAACGTCTCGTCCTCAACGTCGACGCACTCGGCGCAAGTCTTTATATGTTTGCCTCTGTCTTCCGCAGCTAGCTGTCAGTATCAGGTAAATGTGATATATCTCCCTTGTACCTCCATGTCACTTCCAACCCGACTCTTTGGAACTTGGAACGTGAGCTGGAGAACATGATGGAAGATATGTCATCACAGCCACCGGTCAAGCGCCTGCGCGGAGCTCAACTGTGCCTTGTCTTAGCTTCCGTCTGTCTCTGCTCCTTTCCATAACTCAATTGCTCAGTCTCCATGGGTCTCACTAAGGTTCCGTTCTTTCCGATGTGCAGAGCGAGTCCGTGAACTCTCCTTGCCTGCCTCGTGCTCCAACGTCGAACAAGAGTGACATACCGATGGATGGAGTGGGACGGCCTGAAGGCTTGGAGCGCACGGACGTACCCGACCCATCGCCAAGATACTCGCACACTCTTCGACATGACCAAGTACATTGCGAACATGAATGATTCGAACTACACGATGCCCAATAAACAAAAGCTCTTGCTCATCATGTTGGAGGACAGCGCCTGGAATACGGATCGAGGTCTGGGACATATTCCTTGCTCTGGGAGGCCTATTCCTTTCTATTGCTGAGAAAGGCAGAGCTCTCATGGAAATGGGCGGACATTGAACAGCACGTGAGCCTTCTCCTGCAAGATCCTCAGGCAGACTACCCACCAGCCCTGTCACAGAAAGCCAAAGACTCAAGCGACCGTCCTCCAGAAATCTACTGGCAATAAGGCCTGGCAAGCTTGTTGGCTCAGGCGAGTCGCAGATATGCTGGTGAATTTCCGAGTTCAGTGGGACAATGACAGGGCGCACAGCATCTCGAAGCTTTCCCTGGTCCACTGGGATACTCCGTTGCCTCGCTCACAGGGTGTATGCTTCACAGACGTGTACCTGCACGGTGATTGGTCGGTGTGTCCTAAGAACCCAAGCAACAACTGTTATTCCGTTCCTTATCCCTATCAGTACGAGAGTCTCGCAGCCTCGGACAACGGCCTTGACATTGTCCGCTACAAGAACCAACTTCGACTCTTCTTGGAATCTCTATATTATTTCCAGAACGAACATGTCTTCCAGATCAAACTGTCTAGCTTGCACGCTGCCGTCCAGAAAGTCTCGACCTCGAAGATGCTGATCGAAATCGGGAAGGGCGGGGACGGCAAGGGCATGGAGGCATACTTGGAACGAGGACTTCTAGGCGAGCATCACTCCAGTACCCTCGACTGCAGTCTCTTCCTGGACCGACAAGAATTTCGCAAGTCGGGCCACTTTGCTTGGAAAAAAGGGTACCTTAGCTGCTTACAGCTTTTCCGGGTACTGAGAGAGGTTGCAGAACCTTGTATAGACTATCCGACAAGTACTCAACACCGTCAAGCTCTGTTGGAAATCTTCTAATTTCTTGTACTTTCCACGCCGTCCTGCCCAGGAATATCCGGATCCAGGAGATGGACCATCACGATCGGTTCATCGCAGATTTGTGGAAGCGGGCTCACCTGCAAACGTAGATTTAAAGATTCTATGAAGTCCAAGAGCTCAATTACGAGAATATCCCCACAATCGAGGAAGCTCGCGACCTGACAAGGAGTTGTCAACAAATCAGAAGGCGCATCGTCTGCCTCAGGATGCGCAACTCCAATGGCATCTACTCACTCATCCCGCAAGGTGCTTGTACCGTTCCTCAGTCATCCTCTGACTTCGGGAGATTGTGGCGCCTCCCGTTTTTTCAGGAGAACCCCATCGCGGACTGTCTGCAGATGATCTCCCCTCCGTGCACTCTGAGAGAGAGACACTGACTGCTGGCGTCCCAGTCGTCAGGATCATCTACAAGTCCTCCTAAAAGCAAACTATGCAACAAGTCGTGCAGCGAGTCCATGAGAAGCTTGAAGACCCCCATGAAGCCTGTGATCAAAGAGTATCTCTTGCAGAAAGTGGACGACCTGCTGGGAACCATTTCCTCTAGCAAAGGGCGTAGAACAAAAGTGCAGAACTTCATCGCAGCGCTGCCCAGCTTTCTGACATCACGCAGTCGCACGGTGGTGAGAAGGTCTTCGGCGCCTGGCCATTATGGGGTAATCCCTTTGATCTACGCCATCTTCAACAACATTGGGAAGATAAAGCATTCCGTGAACTGCTCGCCTGTGACCGCTTGATCCAGGACATCAACCCCCACGCGCGCCACTGTGGCTTCCTTGATTGAGAGCGTCTTCTGGCACAGCTGCGGGCCTATGCTCTACAGCGCCAAGACCGTCGTCAGGACCTTATGGAGGCTTCTTACATCAACAGGCATGATCGGTGTGGTGAAAGGTCTGGTGATTTGTCACAGATTGCGGTCGAGTACTACCGCACTACCTTGCACCAGGCTATGGACGGCTCCTGGCTCGAGATTGTGTTCTTGTGGAGATTGATGCTCCGTGTTGCCGTCCTTGACTCCTTCGCTGGCACCTGCAGAGGTTGACTTTGTGGACCGCTGGCGACTATCCCGCGCTTCAACTCTTCTGCGCAAACTACAAAGCGTGGCGTTCAGCTTTGGCTGCCTACATCCTGGTTGACATGGACGTGGCCAAGAAGGGGCCCATCCGCATCTTCTATGGGGGCAAGCCGTCTGTGGACATTCCTTGGCTCAGGAAAAGCCGCGCAAGCATTCATGGGCCATGAGTCCTCTATGCGATGGTGGCACATGTACCAAGATCGCTCCAATCCGGAATTCATTGTGTGCATTGACGAGGCCTCCCTGCTCGATTTGTTCCGCAAGCAGGTTGGTCTCCACATGGAGGTTGCCTTGTGTTGGTTTAAGAGTACCCAGTCGAACTGACTCCGGTCTCTAATTTGCCTGAGATGCGCTTTGAGAACTGCTTGCTGAATGAGTTGCGATTCGCGTCGCCTGATATGGGCTTGAGCATGCTTGAAGACCAGCTTCAAGCAACACCGGACGCAGGTCTCAGTGCCAATGACTTCAATATGCTTCCCAGCGCGCAGAACCGTGCAGTTCCTACCGGCTGCGCAGCTCCTCGCAGACACTGAAGGCATGACTGGCCCAGTTATTTGTCATGAACGGCTCTTTTTCTCACTGCCTCAGCTACTGATGTTGTTGCTTGCGTACTCTGCGCTATAGCAGTACGGATTTGTCTCATTTCGTCCGTTTGTCCTGCACACCAATGTCTTTCTGACACAATCACACAATTTATTTTTTCCTTGACACAAAAAGGGCTGCAGGTACATTCTGCGACGTAAGTGATGCTGTGCACATAGGCTGTGATCTACATTGAAACGAAACATGTTCACACATGTGTATATACAAATATATCAATTCGGCCCCTGGAAACAATGAAGTCTAATTCTAACCTCCCCCATGAACCAGAACTTCGGCAAACCTCCTTGGGACAGCGCTTTCGTCACAACCGGCCTACTAAAGCTAACACTGGACAGGAGCCGACGATCGGCAGCGCTGCTTGGCGTCGCACGATGAGTATGGGGCCTCAGCAAAGGCATCAGAAGGGCCTGAAGATGTAGTCTCAAGTGTGTAGAGCACCTATCTATGTCGCGTTGACTGTACCAGATCGCGCATGATTTCTTGGACATCTGTTCGTTGGCCAGCTGGGACTATACTTAGGGGTGAAAGGTCACACAAGGTTTCCAAGGCAATTCCCTCGCAAGCCTTCAACTCTGCTGGGCCGGCCAACCACTGCCGATTCAAAACAAAAAAACTCCGATTCTTTAGATGTCACGGAACGGCCTAAGGCTTTGTCTGGCGAGGCGCACGGAAACGGCTTGCCACAGCGGATCTACTTTCATGGGAAGCGCCCACCCTTCAGCCTTGAAAAAGAAAAACCAACATCATCCCAAACAGCAGCGGCAGCTTAATGTTGTTTTGCCCACCTAGTTTGCAGTTGTAGTCCCCAACCCCAGTGAACCAAAAGCATAACAGACACGCCGGGTCATTCCCTATTCCAAAGATTGAAGGATTTGGCTTGAACATCTATGAAAAGCCGTGGGAGACAAAGGGAGACAAAGCAGAATCATCTCAGCCAAGCATCCAGAAGGGCCATGACGACAAAGGGCCACAAAGCAAAACCGTCTCAGCCCAGAACAGCCATGGAGACAAAGGAGACAAGGAAAGACGAAGGAAGGCAGCATCCAGAAGAGTCTTGGGAGACAGTCGCGACACAGGTAGACAAGGTGAGGCAAGCAAAATCGTCTCAGCCCAGCACCCATGGGAGGCAGAGGGAGGCAAAGCAAATGTTCATCTCAGAAGCATTGAGAACCCAAAGCCGTTTGGGTACAGGTTGACACAACTCAGAGATGTTAATTTCGCAGCAGAACTGCTGCCTGTCTCTCCCGTGATCTGTCTCTCCCGCGATTTGCCAAAGCACTCCTCCAACGGCGCCGCGCGGCCGTCCTCGCATTGCACATCTATCTGGTTGGCGTTGTTCGCATGGCCGGTCGAGATCAAAAAGGCGTGAAAGTTCACACCATCCTGAATAAAGCCAAAACCTCTCACGATCTCCCCAAATTCCTGTGTGAATTCGTTTAAACGACAAACCACGAGCGCAAAAAATGCTAGGGTGGAAAAACTGAAACCGCTGGCCTGGCGAAGGCGCAAGGTGCTCATGAGCTCGTCATAATGTCGCTCAAGTCGAGACTCATCAGGCCCGAGTCTGTTCCCCAAGACATTCAAGATCTTCCGCGTAAAAATTCCTCCTCTCTCGATATCTCCTATGTCATATGTCAAGGTCAAAAAACAAATGCTTTGCAGGACAGGTTCAGTCGTTCTTAATCTGGTCTCAATTGGCCGCGCACCACTTTAAGAAGTGTCAAGAATCAAGAGTCCTGGCACAGAGCGTCCGGGATGACAGGCAAAAAGCATCCACGCTTGCGCCTCGCTGTTCGGCAGAAGACGTCGACGACTGGACAGGCGAAAGTCCTCCTGACTGTGGCTATACCTCAAGCACCAAATGAATCGCTTAAGAGGGCCGGGAATCTCCATGCAACCATTCAGCATCACGTGAATACGCGCTTCCCCGCATCCAACAACGTCACTCAGCCTCCTCACGAGGCTGAAGATGGACACTCCATCACCCCACCTGCCAGCATCTACTGGCAGAAACTGGGGACAGCCAAACACCATTCGGGAATGGCACGATATATACAGCAATATCGTTGGCCGCCAAGCTCCTCGAAGTCTCTTTTCAAGAATTTCTAGCAAAACGCTGACGTGGTCCTTCTTTAAGTCATTCCAGCCATTCAGCACCTGCAAGTCTTCAAACCACAGAAGCCAGCGCTACAACACTATGGACTACAGAGTACGCAGGCTGAACTACACAAAGAAGAAACACACGCGCCAGTCCCTGTAGCAGCTAATAACTTATAACACTAACAAATTTGGCGACCAATCAATCATTGGATCAACCACGAGGTAAAGAGAAGCATGAACCACAACGTACTGCATGCGTAAGCAACAGTTGGTACACTGAAAAGGCCAATGCGACAAAGGTATACTTACCGATTTGCGCTGCTGAGCGAAAAAACATGGCAAACGTCCTTCTCAGCCAATAACATGAGTGGTTTTGTGGCCAGTTTGGCATGAAAGGTGCGGCAATGCGGAAGGTGGCTCAGCTATGCACGTCGTGAACTTTCACCTAATATTTGTTTCTTCCACCTTGCGAATGTGGGCCTGCGGCTTTCGCAGTGAAGTTTCAAGAATGTTTCGTCGTTGCTTCCGAGCCTTGCCGCGGCGCAAACTGCGCTCACATCTGCAAAAAAAATTGTGGACGTCGCAGCTCGACATCTCGTCTTCTTTACAGGCGTTGCCAAATAGGAATCAAGTCCAACACGAACTCGGCTTGTGAGGTGTTGTTGGAAAAGTCTGCAGCGTCAAGGCAAATACTTCCATGTGCCACATTCAGGATGGGTGAGCGGTGAAGTGCAACTTGAAAGCCGGACACTTGCACTTCCTCCAAAGGCCATGGAACACTTGATTCGTACAGGTGTGCTTGCGAAGCGCTGCTCCGATTCAGTACGAATGGACCGCCAAGCTTCCTTGCGCTTGGCTTGACAGCGGGTCTCTTGAGCGTCTTTCCTCCCAAAGCGGGCAGGGTTCCACTTCTGCGCTTCGGGTCGCGGTCCTTTGAAGAGGGCGTGACCGAAGGCACATTCGCCAAGCTTGCGCTTCTGCAAGTTGGAGAGGATTCGTGGCGACTTGTATATCGAGCGATGTCGCTTGCTTGGTACTAATAAACGCCGACCAGATTCAGCGCGCGCACCTGCATCGCAAATGTCGGGGTATTCTTGGCCATCCGGGATGCGTCAAACTCAGGACTTCTGCGCATTAACACTCTCCCCAACAAAAAAGGTGGCCGTCCTGACAAAGCTGTTGGCACAATCCACCAAATCCCTCTCCATCGCAAAGAGTTTCTACTTCAGCGCGTCTCCCACTATAGTCCAAATTTTGTTGAATTGTTGAAGATACCAAGAGGCAGCGGGACGCCAGCTTGCTTTCAACCCGAATCAAGTGTCTTAGTTGGCTTGACGGTGTGGCAACCGCCTTTCTTCCTTCCTTCCTCCCTTCCTCGTTTGGCAGCTGATTATTTGCCAGAAGATCTTGGCGTCATGAAGGCGCTTGCCCAACTGACCTCCGCCGGACGGTGGACTGAGGAACGTGCCGAACGTTCCAAGCTATTCCCTTTCAAGGCGTTAGCAAAATTTTCACCGCTCCCGCCGTGAAAGCCGTCAGCTTTTCCTTTGGCTGTCTGGCTTGTCCTTTGAAGGTGCGCCGGGGCAGCAACCATCTCCTTTCAGTGGAGCTGTTGCGGCATCACAAAAGGAGACGCTGCAAGCAATAGCCTGCATCGGTCGGTCAACACTTCCACATTTACAGCTCATCAGCATCATTCTCTCCCTCGCCATCAATGCCTGGGCCAAAATCTTCACCAACCACGCCGGTCACAACACGTCTGGCGCTGCCTGCCTTCGCTCTTGCACTGTTCCTTTTCTTGTGGGCTCGATATGGATGGTGTTCTCAAAATCGCTTGACCTGTCAAGTGTCGCGAGAACGTAATCCCCATATCCGCCATATCCCATAGCTTTAGCGTGGTACGTGGTGGACACGTCGATCCACACAATTATAGTAAACGCACCGGAGCATCCATTGCAGTATGCACTGACTGGTTGCCGCATAATTTTTGTAGCGATGGACTTGCTGCAGGCCTGCGTTTCATCCGCTTCACTCCACGCATCACTTTTGGACGAAATCTCACATGCGCCTTTAAAATTTTGCATGCGCCTGCCGGCGATTCTGCTATGCCCGTGCTCTCTGCTTGAGCGAAACCTTTTCCCTTTTTTTGGATGAAAATCCTCAGAAACAGGTCTTTTTTTTTGCAGCGCCACGAGAAGGTCAAAAAGACATAAGAAAGGGCACTGGCTTGAGAAACCACCAGGAGCGTCTTGCGTGGGACTTCCTCCAGAAGTGACAGGTGGCTGACAAGGATGCTGACTGGGCGAGCATCCGGCTCTTGGGGCCTTCATCCACAGTCAAACTCATTGCCACTGAGCGGATCGTCAAGAGGGCTGGGTCTTTCCCAATCACCAGCTGCTGGTTTTCAGTCACTGCATGCAAAGGTGATGCGACTGCATTCGATGTTTTCTTGCTATTCTTGTTTGGGCTTCGGCTGTCTGGATCAGCTTCGGGGCCTTTGGCAATTCTGCTTGCGGAGGGTCTTCCTTCAGCATCACCGGCCCACCTGCAGTAAAATACGCCCATGCCCCAGTCTGTGTCACACGAGTGGAGTTCTCCAACATTGCACAGCACAAGCAGCTCGCCAAGGCTATAATACTCAGCAATGCCACACTTCAAACAAAGCCATCTGGCTTCCGAAACTGTCGGCCTCGATCTTTGCCCTCCAACGATTGCCGCTCTTGCAATGCCCAATGCCAACTTGATGAAGAGTCATTGTCTAACTCAGCCAGAGAGGCCTGAGGTCCAAGCTGTGATTTGTTCCTCTGCGTGCACTAGACTCCTGTTGGCAAATGGCATTGTAATTATCATCATGTGTGGAGACAGCCACATAGGGCTCCGCTACCGACACAACGTATTGCATGCGTTGGCAACAGTGGGTAAACAACGCAAAAAGAGGCAAGTCAAATAATGCTTTGCTATTTGCGCAGCTCTGCAAACAACATGGCGGACAACCTTTTCAGTGAATGGAACGACGATTCGGAGGGTGGCCTAGCTCTGCAAGTCATGATTTTTCGCAGAACGGGTATAATCTGAGCTGCGATCATGTTCAGGCGCCTCCCAACCACCCGCTTGAAGTTTATTGGCCAGCTCTTGCAAGTTTCGATCGTACACTTCATCCAAGAACCAATAGGCCTGAAAAATCTGCAAATCAGGAAGACAATCTTGCTGTTTCGAAAGCCTCTTCAGGATATCCCTAGAGAAAATCTTGAGGCTATGACATGCTATGCTCAAACATCTGTCCGCCCTCTTTGTTTCTGCCCATCCTGGATGTTGATCGGCACAGCAATGCGCAAGCCGCTACTTCTACTCTGTTGGGAAGCAGCACGAGGATTGCGTGAACGTGGGCAGCAGCAATTCGACACCCTGACAAAGATACCTGATTTCAGCGCAAAGGAAGTTAAGAACAGCGCAGGAGACATGACTTGCAAAAGGAGGCGCAAGCCTTCCACCCTGGACCAACAACCATGAGCAAGCTGCGCTTTTTTGCGAGGAGAATTTTCTAAAGTGGCACAAATGAGTGCTTTGGAACTAAGCTGGTTGCAAAATGCCACTTGCATGGCCGCCAAGCTCCAGTACATCCACCAAAACCATAATGTGCCAGCTTGACTGGAAGTTAAGTGTTGCCAAATGTCCTGAAAGCTGAAGTAGACAACCATGTGAAGCCCAAGAATCATAAGCACTGGGGCAAAGAGCATCTTGAGGCGCCAACGGCACCTGCCAGAAAAATACTCCATCCCGCTAATGTTCAAGTAGAACGAAGTTTGCAGTGCAGCAGCAAGCAGGACTAGAGCGATGCACCCGCCCAGTGCCGTGCCAAAGCCCTGGTTGCAACTCTGCTCTGAGACGCAAAGCACCTCTGGTCGATCCTCCACGCAGCAGGGCTTTCCCTTGAGAAACGGAACCTCGTTGTGGGCCGGTCGCTCATACGTACGCTGACATCACGAACCACCCATCTCTGCAGCTTAGGCTCCACTAGCCATGGCGTGGGGCTGTCCCAGCAAGTGCTGCCCTGCTCTCTGCAACAATTGGCCCCAACCTAACTCATGACAAGAGCTGGCAGTTGGAAATAAACACATCAACACGGTCGTTTGATCAAAATAAACCTCTCATCCCTTCCATGGCGCCCTTTTGCAAAAACTCTCCTTCACCTCACCTGTCCTGTGTTGGTAAGAGCGTCACCTCTTTATGATATGCCGCACAGCAAGGCTGGCTCTCGAGCGTAATTCCGCAGACCTCCTCAGCATTTCTCAGAATCGCACCCGCAAGGGCAGAGCACTGGAATTGCCCAGGTTCGTTTTCACTCTACAATCGATGTCTCACTTGGAGATTTTGGGTCCCAGTGTTTCAGACCAGGTCCCAAATTGACAACCCTGCAGAATCTGGCAAGACACTTACGTCACCTCACACGGTCGAATTTCTTCCCTCCAAAGAGAATCAATAAAGAGGGTAATGCTTGACCGTCCCACACTGGCCCGCGAAATGGACTTCCTAATTGGACCGCGACAGTCAGGTCAACTCTTGCAATGAACTGCCAGAAGGCCCGCACCTCGGGGTTGCAACAAATGGGTGGCCCACCGTAGCAGGCGCGGGCAGTGAAAGGCCTCGATGCGAAATACACAGACAGGGGTCTGAGCGGTTCAACTCCATGTGTCAGGCTGAATGGATTTGCTCAAGATCGTTCAAAAACTCAAGGGCCATCCTTGGGTGGCTTGTGGTGGAGTGTTTGAGGCCCCCTTCTAGTTGAAGATTGGTTTTGTGGAGAGTCAAGACGGTCAGTTTGAAAGAACACCTGTTTCTATGAACGAGATAACCATCCTACAACACCGGGCTACCCACACACGAAGGAGCAACCATGCCTCTCACAGCACTTGATTTGACAGAATGGCGCCAATTGCTGCCCAGGCGGTTTCACGGACTTTGCAAAGCACGACCAATGCTGTTGCTCGACCATGAGAACAGGAGTTGTTGTCATATTGCAGCAGCATGCGGCATAAATCTCCCCTGTGGTGGCACTGTCTTTCATGAAGCATCTAGTTCCCTTTGGACAATTTCCCCAAGGTGGTCCGAAGCACTGTGCCGCAGACGTCACCGAAGGGGCTCCATCGCAGTCAAAGTCCACTTCCTGACAGCCGACACCGAGCAAAACCATAACATTGCAACATGTTGAGCTTGGAGGTGTGCAAACCCCCAAATAGCAAAACTCCTTGAATCGACCGCCAAGGGTCACCGTAATTGGTGCTGGTAAACACAAGCTGAGACATATTGCCAGGCACCAGTTGAAGGTCGTGGTAATCAAGGCTTCTGCCAAGGCCCATGGCAAAAACCGTAGCAAGAAGCAACAACATTCCACATGCACGTCACGGGCCGCATACATGAACCAGCGCAACTACCCCGACCACACCGACCGGATCTCCAAAGCCAAACTGCTGCATCGGTACAGGTGTACTGGCGAACCATCGTCACATGGAGCAATTCAAGCCTTTTGCGCACTTAGTTCATGGGAGAATCTGCTGACACGTACTCACACGGCAACACCGCATACAGGCTGAAAGCTATTCTTCAACCTGCAAAACATGAAGGAAATCGACAAGAACACAGAACATCGAACAATCCAACGACTCTCTCTCTCTCTTGGTTGAGCTTCGGGTCAGGCTTCACAAAACTGGATGCTGGGCACCAAAGACCTCTGAAAATATCCACCCAATCCATAGGTTTGATGAGATGGGCTAGATGCACAGGACGACAGGATGGCTGTGGCATGGCCGGTTAGGGTCGGTTTGGTTAGTTGCTCAAAGCGAAACGACGACTTTGGGTATGTACCTCTCTGAATAGCATCTCTGTAGGGCTGAAGCAAAATCGGACAAAATGGAATCTTTATGGAGTTCGAGTTCCCAGAGCAGGTTCAATGAGGTGCCTTGTGTTTCTTCAAAAAAGAACAAGAATCCGCATGGTACAGCAGCGGCATTGTAGAAAGGTTGTCCCAGGATCAGCTGCAATTGTCCAAGCAAGTTGGAGGTTAGTTGATCTCGAGATAAACCCAAGAGAAGGCTACAGATTGTAGAGGTACCGGTCTTCGGATTTTTTTGGGGTTTGCCATGAACTAACGTGTGGAGCCCAAGATGTAGCACACTGTCACGGAGACTAGCGTGTTGGAACGCACAAACGCCACAAAATTGAAATGAATCGTCAATAGCCTGTAACAGTGCTTTGTCAGTTGTCCCAAGGGGACATGTCCGGATCAAAAAACAGTCTCAAATGGTTTTGTTTACGAAGCAGGAAAAACATTGGTGAATCGCCATCTCCGTATGTTCACGGGTGCGGCTGGTGTTCAGCGAATTTGGATGAACATTGCTGAATTAATTGAATGTGGATTGATTTGTGTTTTGTTCGAGCCAATTTGAGCCTTGGCTTGCTTGAGGGAAGGTCAAGTAAACTACTGTAATCGTTGCTGAATGAGTTGGAAAAGATCCGTCGCAACAGTTCGTCAGAAGTGCACAAGGACGCCAGACACATCACATTGAGAATAATCTGTGGTGCAAACCCCCAAAGAAACAAACAAGATGGAACCCAAGAACGCGAATGCAAACACGTACTCGAAAAAAACACCCAACCAATTTTTGACACTCTTCTAGGAAACATCACTCTTGTGGGACACTCCTGTAGGACGCGTTCTTTTCAGAAGCCTTTGTGGGAGACTCTTGTTTGTCACTCTTGTGGGACACTCTTGTATGACACTCACTCTTGCGAGACTCTCTGTTGGGCACTCTTGTAGGACACTCTTGTGGGGCACTCTTGTAGGACACTCTTGTGGGACACTCTCGTAGAACACTCTTGTAGTAGGACACTCTTGTTGGACATTCTTTTGAAACACTCTTGTGGGACACCCTTGTAGGACACTCGTGTGGGACACTCTTGTACGACTTGTATGTCACTTTTGTGTAGAACACTCTTGTGGGACATCCTTGCACTCTTGCGGGACACTTTTGTGGGACACTTTTGTGGGGCACTCTTGTAGGACACTCTTGCACGACATTGCTTTGAGACACTCTTGTGGGAGACTCTTGTGGGACACTCTTGTAGGACAGTCTTGTGGGACACTCTTGTTTGCCACTCTTGTGGGACACTCTCGAAGGACACCCTGGTCGGACACTGTTGTACTTCAAGTCTGCAAGAAGCGCTTCGTATGAGACTTCGTCCAAGAGTCACACGTCAAGTCTCCAAAACGGGTGTTTCGCGCGAGACTTGTTCCAAACCTCATTCGTCAAGTCTCCGAAACAAACGTTTCACATGAGACCGAGACTTCCTCAAAAACTCACAGGTGAAGTCTGCAAAACAAGCGTTTTGTACGAAACTTCCTCCAAAAGTCACGCGTCAAGCCTGCAAAACAAGCGCTTCGTACGAGACTTCCTCCAAAAGTCACGCGTCAAGTCTCCAAAAGGAGCGTTTCGTACGAGACTTCCTCCAAAAGTCAC